TATCATTTGGTCTGGCCGCGGCCCAGCCACAGGAGGATTTCGGGACACCCGCGGGACACTGGCGGGACACCGCGCGGCACCGGCCGCCGGAGGAGTAACATTTGGTCTGGCCGCGGCCCAGCCACAGGAGGATTTCCTCTTGCCCGCCCACGCAGCTTCGCCTCGCCCGCACGCACGCACCGCACGCACGACACGAACCCGAAACCGAAATCGATTTCCCGACAGGGGGGGTCGCCGTTTCACGTCGGACTCACCCCCCAAGCTCCGACATGCACACATACACATATTTGTGTGTACGTATGTAGCTGTATATGCAGATGTATACGTATCTGTATGTGTTTGTGCAGACGTATATATACACATCTAGATGTGCATGTATATGTGTATATGCCTGGATTTATACATGTACTCCTGTAGAAGTGTATGTTTACACGTGTAACTTGGTGTTCAGAAATATGTGTCCATGTGCATGCATGTATGTACATGTATTTATATGATACCGGAGAAAAGCCCCAATCATAATCTTTTTAGGGCTGTAGGGCTATAGGGCTACAGGGCTATGAGGGCTATTGGGCTATAGGGTAATAGAGCTACTGGTCAATCGGGCCATAGGGCTATAGGGCTGTAGGGCTATAGGGCTATAGGGCTATAGGGCTAGAGGGTATAGGCGTATAGGGCTATAGAGCTATAGGGCTATACGGCTATAGGGCTATAGGGCTATATAGAGCTATAGGGCTATAGGGCTATAGAGCTACAGAGCTGTAGGGCTGTAGGGCTATAGGGCTATTGGGCTATAGGGCTATAGGGATATAGGGCACCCCCTGGCACTCGGGCACCCCCGGGCACGTCCGGGCACCCAGGCACCCGGGCAGCCCTGGGCACCTGGGCACCCGGGCGTGCGGCGAAAGTCGGCGGCAAGCCTAATCTAACCATATGAATCCGCTAGGACCCCTACAGAGGCAAGCTCTGATTGGGGAACTTGCGTATGCGTACGGATATGTAGATTTAGATGCCTACGTATATATATATATATATATATGGTTTTCGTACGTATACGTATAAAGGTACACGCATATGCGCATATGCCTGTGTATGTTTATAGGTGCACGTGTGTGCATGTTAGATGTAGATGCATATACATGCGTATAGTTAAGCATACACACATATATTTGTATGAGCATATGATTGACGAATTGTATATTTTATAGTTATGTATAAGTAATGTATATATATATATATATATATATATATATATATATATATACATGCGTATAGGTAGATGTATATGTATGTATAGCTATATGCAATTTGTTTGTAACGGCATTTGCGCTTGTATATGTCTATGTACGTGCGTCCGTATAAACCACATATATATATATGTTGGCGCACGTTTCTTTGAACATGAAGAAAAAGTCTGTGTACATGTATATGTAAACGTATAGGTGGTTGCGCTTGTACATGTATATGTATATGTACATGTATGTGCATATTTATGTAAGTTCATGTGTACATGGTACATGCGCATGCGTATGTCCATGTGTCAGTGTATATCGATCTGTATGCTGATGTACAGATATATGGTTGTGCATATGAGCATATATAGCTACATGTATACATCTATGTCGATGTATATGTATATCCCTATGTATATGAATATGTAGGTGAATACGTGCCCGTATTTCCATATGTACAGGGGTTCGTACATGTGTACGTGTGTGTATATGTGTAGGTGCATGTGTTTGCATACATATCTCAATATTTTCTCAATTTGAATTTATACGTATACGTATGTGTATATGCATATATATACATACATATAAGCATGGGTATACGTACATGTTTTTGCATCTGCATATGCCTGCGTAGCTGTATAAGTATATATATATAAATAGTTTTGCTTATGCGTTCATGTATATTCATATGCGTTTGTAGAGGCACTGGACACGTGCATATAGACATGTATGTCAATGTAAATGCGTATGTACTGTCTATGTAAACGTATCTGTATAGGTATGCGTAAATGTACGTGTATATATAAATGTTGACGTGCATGTGCATATGTATACGGATGTGTAAACGTAGGTACAACGGTGTATATATATGTGTACACGTAGAGACACACATATACAAATATGTATATATATATATATATATATAGATCTATGGAAGCCCCCACCCCAATCTGATCAAACATCTTCTTCTTCCAGGCATCCCATATCACCTCCTCCTCCACCTCCTCCTTCCCTTCCTCCACCTCCTCCCCCTCGTCTTCCTCCTCCTCCTCCTCCTCCTCCTTCCCCCCCTCCTCCTCCTCCTCTTGCGGGGGCGTGGCGGTCTGCCACGCTCCTGCAGGAGGAGAAGGCGGAAGAGATATCTATGAGGAGGGGGAGGGCATTGACACACCAAACACCACAAGGAAACACCAAACAAATCAACGACACCAACGCCTGAACATTGAAAAGCAACACCGAAAAGACAAGGAAACACCCAACCAACCAAACAAATCACTGATTTCAATACTTATCCCACCCCCGCCGCCCTCACAGAGAAAGTTCAGCATTTCCCCGCTGGCTTTTTCTGTTTTCCAGCATTTTATGTTTGTCTTCTTGTATTCCTTCCCTTTTGTCTCCAAGTAGGCTTGCCATATAGGAGTCCTAGGTCAATTATACTAATTGGTCCGTTGCCCCCCTCCTAATTCCGGTGCCCTCCCATAATTCCTATGGCTATGCCTATGCCTATGGCTATGCCTCCCTCCTAACTCCTATGCCTGCGCCTATGCCTATGCCTGCTTGCTTGCTTGCTTGCTTGCGCGCTTGCACGCTTGCTTGCTTGCTTGCTTTCTTGCTTGCTTGCGTGCTTGCTTGCGTGCTTGCGCGCTTGCTTGAACGCTTGCTTGCTTGCTGAGTTGCTGGTTCCAGGCGTGCTTGATTCCTCCAATTCCTTGGTTTGAGTGGTCTAATCTATTTGGAGTCAACGCTGGCTGATATCACAAACATAAGAAACAACAACACTTTACCAGGAGGCCCCAGGAACCCCCATGAGGCCCCATGAGGCTTCTATTGCAAAGTCTCATTAACGCATTTTATTTGTATTCCACACAACAGAAGTCAAGCTGTACACCGCCCACAAAGGGAATTCGATTGTAAACTTGCACCAAAAGATGCGATTTGTATGTCGCACAATAGAAATTAGTGAACCGCCTACGAAAATGGATCCTAGTGTAAAGCAGCGCGCGAGGACTTTATGTATTCCACACAGCATAAATAAATTTATACATCGCTAACACAGGGATCCCATTTTAAAGCAGCATCACAGGATTCTACTTGTACTGCGCACGCTCGGAGTCATTTTGTAAATTGCCCGCAGCAGGGCACCAATGGTAAAGCCGCACAGAAGGATTCTATCTGTATTCCGCATGCTAGAAATCAATGTGTGAATCGCATACAAGAGGAATCCCATGATAAAGCAGCGCAGACGGATTCTATGTGTAGTGCACACAATAGAAATCAGTTTGTGATTCGCATACAACAGGGCTCCTATGGTGCAGCAGCATTCAAGAGCTCTATTTGTATCCCACACACTAGAAATCAATTTGTGAATGTACCACCAAGGGAATCCTATTGCAAAGCAGCGCAACACATGATTGTATTCGTATTCCACGCATCAGAAATCAATCCATCAATCGCCCACAACAGGGCTTCTGTCGTAAAGCAGCACAATAGAATGTTATGTGCATCCCACACAATAGACATTAGTTGGTAAATCGCCCACAAAAAAGGAATCCGATTGTAAAACCGTATTAACGGGTTCTATTTGTATTGCACACACACTAGAAATCAATTTGCAAATCGCCCACAACAGGGCACTGATGGTAAAGCCGCACAGACGGATTCTATTTGCTTTTGAACACAGTCGAAATCAATAGATGCATCGCCTACCGCCTACAAGAGGAGTCGCACTATGAAGCCGCACTGGGCATTCTATATCGGTTGCACAGTAGAAATCGAGGTGTAAATCGCCCACAACAGGGCCCCAATTTTCAAGTAGCACAGAAGGAACCTATTTATATCCAACACACTAGAAATCAATGTGTGAATCGCCGGTCAGAGGAATCCCACCGTAAAGCTGCGCAGAAGGATTCTATTTGTAGTCCACACAGTAGACATCAACTTGTAAATCGCCTTCGCAATGGCTCCGATGGTGAAGCCGCATGAAAAGGATTCTACTTGTATTCCTCACACCAGAAAGCAATTTAGAACTCATCCACACGAGGGATCCTAATGTGATGCTGCACGAAAGTATTCTATACGTATCCCACACAATAGATATCAATTTGCAAATCGCCTAATCCAGGGCCCTTGCTGTAAAGCCGCATTGCAGGATTTTATGTGCATTTCACACAACAGAAAACAAGTTGTACATCGCCCAGAAAGAGAATCGACTGTAAAGCCGCACTGAAGGATGCTGTCTGTATTTTGGCACACCACAAATCAATGTGTGAACCGCCTGCAAATGGAGTCCTATTGTAAAGCACCACGGGAGGGTTCTATGTATTATACACACTAGCAATGCATGGTAGATCGCCTACGCAGGGAGTTCTGGTGTGAAGCCGTATTCAAGGATTCTCTTTGCATTGCAGTCACTATGGATCAATTTGCAAATCGTCCACAACAGGGCTCATATGGTAAAGCCGCAGATAAGGATTCTATTTATAGTCAACACGCTAGAAATGAATTTGCGAATCGCCGATGAGAGGAGTCCCAACGTAAAGCAGCGCAGAAGGATCCTGTTTGTATTCCACACGGTGTATATCATTTTTTTCAATCGCCTTCGCAATGGCTCCGCTCCTATGGTACAGCCGCATTGCACGATTCTATATGTATTCCACGCGTTACAGACCAGTGTATAAATCATCCGCACGAGGAATCCTTGTGTGATGCTGCACGAAAGTATTCTATATGTATCCCACGCAGTAAATATCAAGTTGCATATCGCCCACAACAGGGCTGTTATTGTAAAGTCGCATTGCAGGATCCCATGTATACGCCACAACAGAAAGCACGTTGTACGTCGCTCACAAAGGGAATCCGATTGTAAATCCAGACGAAAGGATGCTATTGGCTTTTCGCACACTGCAAATCAATGTGCGAACCGCCGACAAAAGGCATATCACTGTAAAGCAGCACAGGAGGGTTCTATGTATTCCACACGAGAAACACATGATACATTGCATACAGAAAAGGGATCCTCATTTGAAGCAGTTTTGCAGGATTTTTTGTCTTGCGCCCACTTAGAGCCAATGTGAACATCGTCCATAACAGGGCGCACTTGGTAAAGCCGCAGATCAGGATTCTATGCGTATTCAACACAATAGAAATCACTCTGCGAATCGCATGCAAGAGGTACCCATTTGTAGAGCAGCGCAAACGGACACCACTTGTACCCCGCACGGTAGAGAGACATGTGACAATCGCATACAAAAGGTCCACTATGGTAAAGCTGCAGAATTATTCGTTGTGCAGTCCACACTGGAATCCATTCGTTCATCGCCCCCAACATGAATCCCATTGTAAAGCCGCGCGCCAGGATTCTGTTTGTATTCGACATAGTAGAAATCACTTGTTATATCGTCTACAGAAGGAGTCCTATCATATAGCCGCACTATTGTATTACACACAATCGGGATCACATTGTAAATCGCCCACAACAGGGCGCCGATGGCAAAACCGTACAGAAGGATTCTATGCGTATTCAACACAACAGAACTCAAGCTGCGAATCGCCTACATGAGAAATCCAATTGTAAAACCGCGTTGGAGGGTCTTATTTGTATTCCACATAAAGTCGGCCACACAAAGGCCACACAAAGGGAGCCTATTGTAAACCCGCGCAAAAGGATTCCAGTTGTATTCCACGCGGTGGAAATTCATGTGTGACTCGCACACAACAGGAATTCGATTGTAAAGCCGCACGAACATATTTTATGTAATCCACAGTAGAAGTACATGTGTAAATCGCCGACAACGGGGATCATACTGTACAGCAGCGCAGAAGTATCCTATTCGTATTCAACGCAGCAGAAACCAATCTGTAAAATGCGTACAGAAGGGTGTAGTCAACACAATTAAGCTTAATGCGTAAATCGCCTACACGGGGAATCCTATTGTAATGCCGCACGAACGGATTCAACCTGTATTCCGCGCAACAGAAATCAAGTTGTACATCGCCCGCAACAGGGCTCCTATGGTAAAGCAGCACAGAAGAATTCTGTTTGTATTCCACACAATAGACATGAAGTTGTAAATCGCCCACAACAAATGGCCCTGTATTAAAACCGCAGTCAAGGATTCCATTTGTATTTCACATGGGAAACGCCGCGAACAGCGCTTATTTTCTTAGAAAAAATATTCTCGCAAAGGACCCAACCATAAGCAGTTGTTCGTACGTCTTGGGGGCATCTTGGGCCGTCTTGATGCCATCCTGGGCGTTTCGGACCGACTCTGCGGCGATTCGGGGCCTTCTGGGACCGTGTTCGGGGCCTCTTGGCCCGTCTCGGGGCGCCCGTGGACCCGAGAAAGTCACGCAGCACGATGCCCCGGGCCCCAGAGGCCCTTCAAAGACCCCTCAGGATTAAGGACTGAGGCTCAGAGGTTGAGCGCGGGACCCAGGGACACTCCACTTTGCGCCACAGGGACACGGTGGCGGATATACATGTGTATACATGCGTATATTCACACAACATACGCATATGTGGCTGGGTGCTGCCTAGCCTGCGCCAGCTCGAACAGGTCACCTGAGACTTTTGAGCGCAATGTAGAAGCTGGAGGGCGTGTGCGTTGTCAAATGAGGCTGAACCGAAGAGGAGCAAATTGGCCACGGGCTCGGGAGTTCCTGTCCAGGCCCTCCAGTTAATGTCATGTTCCCGAGAATCTTCACGTCCTTAATCGAGATAGTGTGGGCTTGCACGGTCCTCGGCGCTAGTTCATTCTAGCCGTGTTCGTTCACAAGCACCTGCCACATAGACAGAAGCAAGGCCGCACAGAGAGGACACCCATAAGTTGTTTCCGAAGCTCTCCGCGCCACGTCAGGCAGAGGGGGGGAGGTCAAAGCACCTCCAGTTCGCAACAAAATCATCTCAGGTCCGTGACGACGACATCTTTGGTGACAGTTCCATCCCGAACCATCTCACACTGTACAATCGGGTCGCGAGGGAGCGGAACTCGCGAAAGCTTCCTGAATTCTGGGGAGCTCCTCGCACACAAGTGAGTCCGCAACACCAGAACCTTGAGCGTATTTGCGGCAACATGCTTACAACATGAAAGTGCATATGGAAAGGCTTTAATATCCTGCGCACGCGCGTGTTGTTGGCCCGAGCAGCCAGCCTCGCAGCGGGGTCCGCCCACTTCATGCCACATTAATTCGTGACACAACAGGGGGTGCTGGCCGGCCTTCTAGTCCTGTCTCCTCCTCGCGCGCTGCCACGAAGCACATCCTCCATCCAGAGGGGCAGGTGGATGATGAAGACGAGGAGGGGACGAATAGGAGGAGGAAGAGGTGGAGGATGAAGAATACAATGAGGGAGGATGTGAACAATGGGGAGGAGAAGGGGGAGGAGGAGGAGGAGAAGGAGGAGGAGGAGGAGAACGGCAGACACGTCCTTACCCCGTTCCTTTTTGTAAACATGTCATCTGCCGTAGTTTGTGCGTCCTGACCTTTCGGTTTCCCACAAGGTCATCAAATTTGTTTTCCCCATGCCTTGTGCCATGGAGGGCGTCAAAAGCCGGAAGAAGATTGTCTTCAAGATGTGCAACGTGAGCTTCGCCTATCCCGTGAGCAAGAGCCCTTCCATTCTGGACTTAAACATCGAAATGTCTCAGGCAAGTCGCCCCTTGGTCTGCCGAATCGAGCCACTATTCTATTTGTTACTTTCTCGTTCTCCGCCTCTTCTCCCTGCCCCTACTCTTTCTCCAGCTCTTCCCTCTCCTGCTTCTTCTCCTCCTCCCTCCTAAAGTCTCAGGCAAGCCGTATTTTGGTCACGGGTGCGAAGGGCTCAGGCAAGTCGACCTTAGTCAAAGTCTTGATTGGTAAACTCAAGCTGACTGAGGGCGCAATCCAGAAGGCCGTCGGACTCAGCGTGGCCTACGTCTCCCAGCACATGTTCAATCAGCTTGAAGAGTGTATGCACATGACTCCGCTTCAGTACATGATGGAGCGTTTCGCCAGCGGGAGCGACAGAGAAAACCCTGAGCTCCAGCAGTACCAGAAACGCAGGTTGCCCACGAGAGACGACATCGAGCAGCACTGTAGTGATTTCGGCGTTGACCAGGAGTCTGTAAACCGCCTGCACATCAAACAGCTCAACAAGAGCATGAGGTTCCGTTGGGGCGTGCACGGAAGAGGGAGGGGGGAGGGATAAAGAGGGCTGGAGGGAGTTCGGGGAGGTGGACGACGAACAAGTGGATGATATAGGAGCAGATGATGAGGAACAGTAGGAGGATGATGGTAGGTGTGGGCAAATCTATGGGTGATGATGACCAATCAGACGACGACGATGCCAATGTTGATGATGATGATGATGATGATGATGATGATGATGATGATGATGCTGACGATGATGAGAATGATGCTGATGCTGATGATGATGACGATGATGCTGATGAGCATGAGGATGATAATGCTGCTGCTGATGATAATGATGATGATGGTAATGCAGTGTTTGTGATGATGCAGACGATAACGGTGGCGACGACAATGGTGATGACGATAAGGATGATGATGCTGCTGATGATGATGAGGATGGGGATGATGGTGCTGAGGATGATGATTGTGACGGCGATGCTGCTGCTGCTGATGATGATGATGATTCGGATGACGACGATGGTGATGATGTTGCTGCTGGTGATGTTGACGACGATGATGATGATGATGATGATGATGATGATGATGATGATGATGATGATGCTGAGAAGGAGGAGGAGGAGGAGGAGGAGGGTGATAATGATGTTGATGCTGATGATGATGATGATGATGATGCTGCTGCCGCTGCTGACGATGGTGTCGATGATGATGATCATGTGGACGATTTCCAGGACAATGATAATGATGGCTCTTGTGACTACGATGATGAGGGTGATGATGCTGCTGCTGCTGATGATGATGCTGATGCTGATGCTGATGCTGATGATGATGATGATGATGATGATGATGATGATGATGCTGATGATGATGATGATGATGATGCTTCTGTTGTTGTTGTTGTTGTTGTTGTTGTTGTTGTTGTTGTTGTTGGTGATGTTGTTGTTGTTGTTGTTGTTGTTGTTGTTGTTGTTGTTGAATCCCCGCCACTGAAAAAAGATTGTTGGCCCACCCTCTGGTGGCCATTGTGTTTTTTTCAATTGAAGTGCGTACTCCAGGCTCGCAGCTGTTTTTTGTAGCAGGGAACGTCACGGGGCTCAAACTGGGTTGTTGGCCCCTGGATTACAACAACAACGGCTCCCGCCTGAAACTTCCCCACAATTTTGCCTGGACCCCCGCTCCCGCCTGAGGGTTCCTCGCATTTTACTTAGAAAATCGCGCTCTCTCTTTGGACTTCCTCACACTTTTTAGGGATCGCTCTCTCGGCGCTCTGGAGTTGCGCTCTCGCTGGAGACTTGCTTGCAATTTACTGAAGAGCCGCGCTCTTGCGTCGGAATTCCCCGCAATTTACGAAAGCGCCGCACTCCCCACACTCAGGCACCCATGAGTCGCGCTTGCGCTTAGGACTCCCATTTAAGAATCGGGATCTTGCTGCCCTTCGTGGCCCCGTTGCAGCCATTCGTGGCCCCCTCGCTGCCCTTTGTGGCCCCGTTGCAGCCCTTCGTGGCCCCGTTGCAGCCCTTCGTGGGCCCCCTCGCTGCCCTTCGTGGCCCCGTTGCAGCCCTTCGTGGCCCCCTCGCTGCCCTTCGTGGACCCGTTGCAGCCTTTCGTGGCCGCCTCGCTGCCCTTCGTTGCCCAGCTTTTGCCCTTTGTGGCCCTCTCGCTGCCCTTTTAGGCCCCGTTGCAGCCCTTCGTGCCCCCCTCGCTGCCCTTCGTGGCCCGGCCTTCGCCCTTCGTGGCCCCTCGCTGCCCTTCGTGGCCCCGTTGCAGCCCTTCGTGGCCCCCTCACTGCCCGTCGTGGCCCCGTTGCAACCCGTCGTGGCCCCCTCGCTGCCCTTCGTGGCCGGGCTTTCCCCCGTCGTGGCCCCGTTGCAGCCCTTCGTGGCCCTGTTGCAGCCCTTCGTGGCCCCCTCGCCTTCGTGGCCCCGTTGCAGCCCTTCGTGGTCCCCTCGCTGCCCTTCGTGTCCCGGATTTTGCCCTTTGTGGCCCTCTCGCTCCCTTTCGTGGCTCCATATATGTCTGCCCTTCGTGGCCCCTGCTCGTTCGCGCCCTTCGTGGCCCCATATGCGTGCCCTTCGTGGCCCCGCTGTCGCCCTTCGTGGCCCCGTTGCAGCCTATCGTGGCCCCGTTGCTGCCCTGAGTGGCCCCGTCCTTGCCCTCTGCGGCCCAATACACGTATGCCCTTCGTGGCCCCCGCTCGTTCGCGCCTATCGTAACCCCACATGCATGCCTTTCTTGGCCCGGCTGTCGCCCTTTGTGGCCCCCTCGCTGTCCTACGTGGCCCGTTGCTACCCTCAGTGGCCCCGTCGTTGTCCTCTGTGGCCCCGCATTATCTGCCCTTCGTGGTCCCCGCTCGTTCGCGCCCTTCGTGGCCCCATACGCATGCCCTTCGTGGCCCCGCTGTCGCCCTTCGTTGCCCCCTTCAACCTTCCTGCCTTTCGGGGCCCTGCTGTCGCTCTCGCTCTCGCTTTCGCTTTCGCTCGCCGTCGCCGTCGCCGTCGTCGTCGTCGTCGTCGTCGTCGTCGTCGTTTCCGTCGTCGTCGTCGTCGTCGTCCCCTGTCCGTTCCTCTTGGGGTCGGGTTGCCGCCTATCAGCGCTGCCGCTGGCCAGGCCGACGGTCCACGGCCGCCCCGCCGCTTGCGGAGGCCTGGCCTGCAGGGAAGAAAGATCTACCCCCCACAAAGGGTGTGATCGAAGACGAAGAGGGCGGGTACCGAGGGTTTGGGCAATACACGTTGAATGACACTCGAGCAGATGAGGGCGAAGAGTATTAACATGATTGTTGTTGTTGTTGTTGTTGGATTTCCATTATTGAGGAATCATTATTGTTGAGCACCCCTCCAGTAGCCATTGTGTTTTTCAATTGAAATACTTTTCCTGGGGCTCGCACAGTTTTTCCTTTTCATCATGAATGTCTGTATGTATGTGAACAGAAACGATTGTAGGTGGGATTTTGTAGGTGGGATTTTGTATTACATTAACGAAAATCACTCGGCTCAAACTGCGTTGTTGGTCTCCGGATTACAACAGCAACGGCTCCCGTCTGAGACTTCTTTACAATTTAGCCAGGATCCCCGCTCCCGCCTGAGACTTCTTCGCATTTTACTCAGGAATCGCGCTATCGTTTGGGACTTCCTTATACTTTATTTTGGAATCGCTCTGTCGGCGCTCTGGAGTTGCGCTCTCGCTGGGGGACTTGCTTACAAAATACTAAAAAATAGCGCCCTGGCGTTAGAATTCATTGCACTTTGCTCAAGTCCCGCGCTCCCGACACTCAGGCACCCAGGAGTCGCGCTCACGCTTAGGACTCCCTCACAACTGACTTAGACATCGAAATCTCGCTGCCCTTAGTGGCCCCGTTGCAGCCTTCCGTGGCCCCCTCACTGCCCTTAGTGGGCCAGTTGCGGCCCTTCGTGGCCACCCTCGCTGCCCTTCGTGGCCGCGTTGCGGCCCTTCGTGGCCCCCTCGTTGCCTTCTGTGGACCCGTTGCAGCCCTTCGTGGCCCCTGCGCTGCCCTTCGTGGCCCCGTTGCAGCCCTTCGTGGCCCCCTCGCTGCCCTTCGTGGCCCCGTTGCATGCCCTTCGTGGCCCCTGCGCTGCCCTTCCGTGGACCGTTGCGGCCCTTCGTGGCCCCCTCGCTGCCCTTCGTGGCCCCGTTGCAGCCCTTCGTGGTCCCCTCGCTGCCCTTCGTTGCCCGGCTTTTGCCCTTCGTGGCCCTCTCGCTCCCTTTCGTGGCCCCGTATATGTATGCCTTCTTGGCCCCTGCTCGTTCGCGCCCGTCGTTGCTCCACATGCATGCCCTTCGTGGCCCCGCTGTCGCCCTTCGTGGCCCCGTTGCAGCCTATCGTGGCCCCGTTGCTGCCCTGAGTGGCCCCGTCCTTGCCCTCTGCGGCCCAATACACGTATGCCCTTCGTGGCCCCCGCTCGTTCGCGCCTATCGTAGCCCCACATGCATGCCCTTCTTGGCCCGGCTGTCGCCCTTTGTGGCCCCCTCGCTGTCCTACGTGGCCCGTTGCTACCCTCAGTGGCCCCGTCGTTGTCTTCTGTGGCCCTGCATTATCTGCCCTTCGTGGCCCCCGCTCGTTCGCGCCCTTCGTGGCCCCATATGCATGCCCTTCGTGGCCCCGTTGTCGTCCTTTGTGGCCCCCTCCCTGCCCTTCGTGGCCCCGCTGTCACTCTCGCTCTCGCTCTCGCTCTCGCTTTCGCTTTCGCTCGTCGTCTTCGCCGTCGCCGTCGTCGTCGCCGTCGTCGTCGTCGTCGTCGTCGTCGCGGTCGTCGTCGTCGTCGTCGTCGTTGTGGTCGGTCCCCTGTCCGTCCCTCCTAGGGTCAGCCGCCGATCAGCGCTGCCGCTGGCCATGCCGACGGTCCGCGGCCGCCCCGCCGCTTGCCGGGGCCCGGCCTGCAGGGAAGAAAGGCGTAGCCCCCAAAAGGGGTTCGATCGAAGACGAAGAGGGCGGGTATCGAGGGTTTGGGAAATACGCGTTATTGGACACTCGAGCAGATAAGGGCGAACAGTTTTACAATGGTAGTAGTTGTTGTTGTTTTTGTTTTTGTTTTTGTTGTTGTTGTTGTTGTTGTTGTTGTTGTTGTCGTTGTCGTTGTCGTTGTCGTTGTTGCTGTTGTTGTTGTTGTTGTTGTCTTAGTAGTTGTTGTACTTGTTGTTGTTGTTGTTGTTGTTGTTGTTGTTGTTGTTGTTGTTGTTGTTGAACTATCGTTTCTGAAGAATATGTATTGTTGATATCCCCCGTCTGGTGCACATTGTTTTTTCTCAATCAAAGTGTGCCCCTCGACGCTCGCACCCTGCTTTTTGACAGGGACAATCTTCCTGCTCAAACTGGGCCCCTGGCCCCCGGGTTACAACAACAACGGCTCCCGTCTGAGACTTCCTCACAATTTAGCCAGGACCCCCGCTCCCGCCCGAGACCTCTTCGCATTTTATTCAGGAATCGCGCTTTCGCTTGGGACTTCCTTACAAATTATTAAGGAATCGCTCTCCCGGCGCTCTGGAGTCGCGCTCTC